AAAAAGAAAAAACAGGATTTTGGGGCCCCTTTCCCAAAAGAAACCAATACAATATGCATAAAAAAACCAACTCTTCAAGCAAAAGATTCAATATCCTGGGAAAATAAGAACCTTTGAAAAGCAGTGAGTGCGGGTCTGGAAAGGAAAGGCAGCTGCGTGATCTGACCCTACCCTTGTCAGTCGGTCTAGAAAAATAGGTCAGCCCTTAACCCAATCGGAAAGGCTGGAAAAGGGTCCCCATTTTAACTTTTAGAGTCTATTCTAAAAGAAATGTAAAAAGGAAATATCCAAGCCGTAAATACCAACAGTTGTAGCCATCCCAAGGCCAGCTCCTGAGTCCTTTAAAACCAAACGATAAAGGCACAACAGGACTAAAAAAAAAAAGAAAAAAGTAGAAGGGGGAATAAAGGGTATTTACAAAAATGGATCTAACTTGCGAATCAAAATGTTGTTTTTTATTATGGTATGCTGTAAAGTGGGCCCAGTTCTTGGCAATTTTCTCCTCATGAAATTTCTTGTCTGGGTGATCTTGAATCTGTTTTTTGACCGTCCATGCCCTGTTGGTCCCCTGCCCTTCCCAAAACTGTGTTGACATGTTGTGCAGAGTTGAGTCACCCTGTGACATCATGACAGCACTCTTGACATTTCATATATGCTCTGTTCTCATCTTCAGCAGCCAGTTGAGTCAAGAATTGATATCACAGCACTCGGGAGCAATCCCAGATGCACTCCATCCCAATTTTCAGCAGCAAGCGCAGAGTACCAATACTAATGGTACTGGTCGTAGTTGGTTACATATATGAGTTTCTTCTGAATGTAGTCAGCTGACCAGATCCTCTGATTCAGAAGAGCTGCATTGACCCTTCCTCCAGTGAAGGTTCCAATTCTGATGTTACCAGTTGCAGCTCAATTGGTTTACCAGTCTTGCCTTTCCTCTGACTGCCCACAGAACTATTCTTGCCTTTCCCTCTGAAATGCCCACAGAACAATTTCTTGCCTTTCCTCCCCCCCCCCCCCCCATTTTGACTGCCGCACAGAACCAATTTCTTGCCCTTTCCTCTGACTGCCCACAAGAACTATTTCTTGCCTTTCCTCTGATGACTGCCTACAGAACTATTTCTTGCCTTTCCTCTGACGGCCTTACAGAACTATTGACACAAAGA